TTCTAACCTTTTCACCCACGAAGTTGTGGATCTGGCTTTCTCCTTTGTGCCTTCCACAAATGGCGCTCAAGCACAGGGCACAACTAGAAGGTCTCTGAAATTCAGAGAACTCGCCTGCTCCCCTTGAAGAAAAACTGCAACAAGACTGTGAACTCCAACACTCGCCACAGCTGAATAGCAAATCAGATCAGAACACCTAACTCGGAGAGGTGATCAACAACGAAATTATCGTTTACCTTAAGTACCCCCTTTTATTCATCCTAGAAAATTAATATCAAAATGGAATCCCAGCTTTCTAAAGATGAATCGGAGTTATATTATTATCTAAAAATTTAATCAAGACTCATGGACATTCTCAAATCAAAAAATCCTTAAAAGCGCTGACGAAATGGATTAATAAAAATATAGACCCAGTCCCAGAAACATTAAACTGTCAAGAGTGGGACAAAATTGGCAAAATTTTGTGGATGGCAAGTAATAATGGAGATCAGAAAGCTTCAAAATCTCTGATAATATAGACATTAATCCTTAATATATTACAACTCAAAAACCAGGAAGAAAAACAAGAATCACAATTTGAAATAATGGAAAATAAAAATCCAAGTCCATGTAATGCTTTCCCAGATGACTCACAAAGTAAAAATCAAAATGGAGTCATCTTTAGCCCCTCACGAAAAGGCGGGCTTTTTACAGACACGCAAGATGGCGAGCTTGACACTAGTTCTCAAAATAGCATTAAGATCACTACTGCATGTAACCCTTCACAAAATGGCGCCCCTGCTAACTCCCAAGATGGCATTTTAACTACACAAACATCACCTAACACCATGGCAACGCCTGTCCCTAGTAACACCCTAACGACGCCCATTTTCGGCAACCCTCCGGTGACATCATCTTCTGGGGTGACTGACATAAACATCAGTCAAGGTGGCAACACCCATGGCACTTCCGGCCTGCTAAAAATAAACACCCACCAAGATAGCAGCGTCCATGAAAATCATATTACTACTTTAACCCCTATGATAAAAACCAATAAGCAGCATGCAGAATCCAACCTAGCCATCATCAATTCTTCTTATCAGTTCTTCAAAAAAAGTGTAAAACATCGTGAAGATAAACAAACTATTATAGAATCAGAAAATACATCTACCAATGTGTTAGAAGATAAAATGTTTTATATTTCTAATGTATGTTCACTAGTAGAAAGTAGTGAATTTTATAATCAGGAAATAGCAACCATCTTCAAGTCAGAGTTTAAAACATATGCACTGGGAAAAAATGAATCTGATACAAAAGAAAAGAATCAAGGTATAGTAACAACAACATACAACACACAGGGCATACAAGACTCAAACCTCCAACCAAAGGAAACAATAACATCCATAGACACAGTGAAGCAAGCACAACTCATAGAAGTATTGAAGAAGGAGGTGAGAGCCATACTGATAACTGCCAAGGAGGGCTTAACGCCAGCAGAGTTGGAAGAGCAGTACATAACCATGATCCACAAACCACTGCCCCTCGAAGAACTAGGCTTCCAGTCCACCCTAGAGCTGGTGACACACATGCCTGAAGTTGTCCAAGTTTATTCTTATAAGAATGGCACTGTTATCCTCAAAGCCATTGTAGATGACACCACCAAAGACATTGCCAAACCAGTTGCCTGTCAAAAGGGAAGAACATGCAAAAGAACTCCTCCGAAGGCAAATGCTACTTCTCCCTCTAAAAGCTTTAAAAATCCACAGCGTTCCCCTTACGCAAGATCTCAAAGACCCAAAAACCAAAAGACTGAACAAATTGTTATAATTACAAGCACAGTCCCCGACAATCAAGGACTGTTATATGTAGAAGAAATGTCATATCATGATGATTACGGAAATCTCTACAAACGAATCAAACAAAAACATTTATGAATGAAGTCTGAGTGTAGCAGCTGCTTTTTTAGTTTGATTTTGAAATTGAATATGTTCTCATATATTTTAATAAGTATTTCTTATTTACCTTCATGTGTTATTTTTATGTTTAATAATGATTTACTTTATTATTAATATATTTATTGAGTTTTATTATTAAAGAAAAAAGAACAATATCACAACGAAGAAAATAACAACTGAAGAAAATAAGGACTGCCTACAAATTTCTGCAACAACTAGAACAAGTTACGTAACTGAAAACAACCATTTAACCTTAAGAATGACTGTGTTCTCATGCATTTTAATGCATATTTCTTATATAATTTTATATATTGTTTTAATATTTTGATAATTGATTACCTGATTTATACTGAAATGTTACTGTTAACACCTTTATTAAGTTTATTATTCAAGTTTCTACAGCAATTGAAACAAACAACATACAAAAAATACAAGAAGTAAGAAACACAAAAGAAACAGGTCATGCACATCAAAATCCCTTGTAAGAAGTCTGACGGAAAACGTAGTCCACGGAACTGAAAGTGGCATTTAATCTGACTTTTACAAGGTTTAACATTAATGTAGTAGTTGATAATGTATACCTTGTCAGTAAAAAGAAAAAAGGGGGAATAGAGGTAATAAAGATAAATGCCACCTGAGTAATAGTTTTATAACAAAAAATGTTTTTTCATTCCTGATGATTTTTGGTTTCATATATTAATTACTTTTTTATTATAAGTATATATTTACTTTGAAGTATAGAAAAAATGTCAACTTACAGGAATAATTACTTACATACTTGAACTTATACACTGAAACTAATTATATGGTTTAAAAATATGGTTTATTTTTCAGTTTATACAAATGTTTATAGTTGGTTAAACTCCACAAATAATCAACGTCTTGAGGTGAATGCAAGAGTGTGTTTGTGTGAATGAAGGAGGCCTCCGTGAATGTTTTGTGTGAGAGAATGAATGTGTGGAAACTTGAAAAACCTCAAAATGATAAAGTTCTTTCTTATCCATTTATAAGCTCGGGCTAAGGTTAAAAAGTTAACAAATTTACATTTTTGTCCTTTATCGTTAAGTTGGAAATCTCCACAAACTTAGTTTTGCACTGTGTTGAACTTCTGTTGTTAGTATAATGAGAAGTTCAAGGGCAAGTATTCTTTGGCCAGAGAGCTCGAGGGGAACGCTTGGGGCTTGAACCCCCTGTAACAGTTCCCTAGCCCAAGTCGAGAGGGAGGCGAGGTAAGGGCTAGGCAAGGTACTGAAAAGTCCTCCAACAGCGCATTACCCACCATACAACCTTAAGCTGGAGTGGACAAGCAAGTGAACGGTATCATGACCTGGCTAGGACTAGCTTAGCTGGTAGAGCGGGAGACACTGGTCCTCGGGGCAAAGGCAAACGTTATTGCCTTTGGGTTGAGCTACCCAAAAAGCTCAGGTAAACTTTATTTTAAAAGTTTCTCTTTTTATAATTTTTATATAGGGCTTAACATATTATTTGATTAATATCATCTATTTCAAAGTTACTTATTCTCTCTTAAAAGTTCAACAAAAATTCTTTTATCTCCTTCCTTATTACAAATTAACATTTTATCCCATGTTTAGCTTGAAGCTCTTTATTGCCGAAATCCCTCTAAATTACAAATAATTTATATTATCAGTTCTATCTTTATTAAAAAACAAAAAAGGAAGATATGTTGGGATTGGGAAATTGTGAATTTTGTGTCTTGTTTATAGTGTATTATATTATC